CCCCCCAAAAAACAGAAATTGACCATGGACTCAACGTTGAATTGACGTCTGCACATAATAATCGTGTAGATACATTTCCGGCTCCCCCGCCCCCTTCTCTCCCTGTCGCCCTGTATGCAGGCAAATTCCCAGCAATTTCCACCACCAGCGAGCCTGAGTACTTTTACTCCGCGTGACGTGTGTAGGGGCAAGGGCCTATAAAATTAAGAAAGATATCGATTTCCGACTCATGCGAGTGCGATTTACGATTTGCACAGCCAAAACTTTGTCGAAATTCAAACTCCGTCGATTTTCCCGTTAGACTCAAAATGAACTTCGATTGAAATCGACGAATTTCCGATTTCCACGACGAATCGACGGCGATGCGACTTTACATTTCTTGCTGGAATTATCCACAATCGCTAGTCGGAAAGCAGTAACAGGGTAACTTCAAGGGAATTCTTTGATGCTGGCGCTAGTAGTGTCCGTCCCCCGCGAGCCAAGGAGCCGTGTCGAGCAAGCGAGCCTAAAGTAAAGGGGAGCCGGGCGCGGAGTGCGGAGTACTGTAGCGCAAAAGTTTAAAATGTTAAACAGTCATCCGAGAGGAGAGAATCAAATGTGGAAGGGATCCGTATCCGCTAAATGTGAGATTAGAAAAGTAAGAGATTACTGTCCAAAACATTGTCAATTTATTGATGGCTTGGCAAATTTGATTTCAAACTGTTCATCGTGCAAATTTATGCAGGCGCGAGCTCTTTAGAGCGTCGTATCCAAGAATGTTGCAAAAATGATTCTAAACGAGCAACGTTATACATTGACATCGCTCTTCCGGGAGTCATGAAATAGGATTCACCACATCGCTCTCCCTGAAGCGAGTTTGCGCACTCTTGACTCGCATTACGTAGGCGACACAAGTGCGCCATGCGACATGATGACCTCACCCAAAACTAAATCTGCACGCAACTCCTCGCCAGCAGGGTGGATATAGCGATATATCCACCGATATCCACCTTGTTCGCCAGCGACCCGGCCACCGCCCGGTCGGAGGTGTGCCCAACACACTCAGCTGTTCGATGGGTTGCCTGCCGCTGGGCGCCTTCTCCTGCTCGACGGCCGCTTAATTTAATGTCGATATTGCGGTTTGCGCTCACGCTCAACACCGCTCAGCGTTCAACTCTCGCTGTGGCGCATTTCCAAAGCGTGCTAGTGCATGCAGATGATGCATAACTGAGCTGTTGGCCGGAGAGCCGGGCTACGTAGATGTGTCATCGGTTGCCACGTCACACTTTTCAAATTTCGCACCGTGTGGCGACAGCCTACGACGGTAGTCTACGTGTCCGCGTGGACCCAGGAGACTAAAGGTCTTGTGACTCTATTTCCTCGATACTGTTGACCTACTAGCTTATAAAGAAAGCTGGTTGACTGTGCAATAAACCTTAAAAAATCTTTTTGTCGATGTTCCTTTTCTTTTTACGTGGCAATGCCTACCGTTTGGATCACGTAGTCGTTGCGATCGCCCCTTCCCCAACGCCACAACCCATCCCAGCGCTGCCAAACGGCCATCTTGGGGACTACTCAGTTTGATTCGGTCGACGCCATTACGACTACGTCCAATTTTACGAGCAAGACAAGAAGGACAAGACTTTGCATAAACTACAGTTGCTGGAAATTCCACCATGGCTGGTAAGAATTCCCCTTACCCACCACTTCCTTTCATATCGCATCAACTTGCTGTATGTTTAGATTTTGTCTAGATATCCTCTTCGTTGTGTATCGTACTGAAATGTCCGGGTCTAGAAACCCAAGCCGCTTGGACCGGCGTCACGAATAGCTCAGCCTAGCAAGCTAACCTTTTCAAAGGGAAAGGCAGAGGAACAATTATACTCAACTGTATCTCCCTCTAGCTTTGATACTACAACGACATCGACCCCCCTGCTCCTCCCCCTCGGCGCCGACTCCGCGGCAGCCGCCCCCAGCAGCGCGCGCGGGAGGGCGCGTCGTGCTCGCGTGATGGGACGTAGCGTCGCGTGCCGCGGGGGAGGTTTGTGTTGCCGGGCCTCTCGCTGTCGTGGTGCGCGTCCGGATCGATGGTCGGGCTGCCGAGGGGGTTGTTGT